AGTCCGTACCTTTGATACTTTCAAAGTATTTGCTCGAGATGGCAGAGTCTCGTGCTGATAACGTGTAATAAAATAAAGATGGTAAAGTAAAGACAAGTATAGAGAGAAACTGATATATTATTAAAACTTCAAACTTGTGTACATAATGAACTAAAAACTCTTCTATTTATAGAAGAAAGGAAGTTGTCATGTAAGCTGCTACTGCAAGCTGTTGTGTAAGCTACTACTGCAAGCTGTTGTGTAAGCTGCTTGTAAGCTGCTACTGCATGCTGCTGTGTAAGATGCTGTCACGACCCAAAATACTAACCTATCGTGATGGAGCCTATCTCAGTACTAGGCAAGCCGACAATATCAATAACCCATGATTTCCTTTAAATTTAAAAACGTAACGTTTAATACAATACCAAAGATCTAGCAATTTCTGATACAACACTCCTAAAACCTGGTGTCACTGAGTACATGAGCATATAATATGAGTACAAGTCTGAAAAATATGGTCTAAAATAGTCTGAGACCAAATATAGTAATCAAGGAGATAGAGAAGGAGAGACAAGGTTTGCGGAACACGACAGCTACCTCAAAATCTCCTGAAAATCAACCGCGCAAAAGGATCAACACCCGCTATGTCCAGGAACACCTGGATCTGCACACGAAGTGCAGGGTGAGTATCAGTACAACCAACTCAGCAAGCAACAATAATAAATAAGGAACTGAAGATAGTAACGAGCTACACAGTTATGGTTCATTTTCAGTAATTCCTGCAAAGAATAGACATGCTATCAAATCTGGCAGTTTAATGACAAATTAATTTTTTATACAGTTCCTGTTCATGTAATCCATATATTAACAATCTTTCAGAGATTTCACAATAATGACAGATAGCAACTAAGTGCAACAATAAATGGAAATCAAGTACAACCTCTTAGGACAATAATCACTCACTGGGCTCCCAGCCCTCATCACTCCCTGGGCTCCCAGCCCTCATCACTCACTCTCAATAGGTACTCGCGCTCACTGGGGGTGTACAGACTCCGAAGGGGCTCCTATAGCCCAAGTGCTATAATCTTCACGGACAACTCACGTGCTGCACGGACAACTCACGTGCCATAATATAAATATTTGGATCCGCATGGCCAATTCACGTGCTGCACGGCCAACTCACGTGCTATAGTATAATATAAGGATCCACACTGCCAACTCACGTGCTATAGTATAATATAAGGATCTGCACGGCCAACTCGCGTGCTATAGTATAATATAAGGATCTGCACGACCAACTCACGTGCTGCACGGACAACTCATGTGCTATGGTATCAATATCTTACAATCAGGCTCTCGGCCTCACTTAGTCATAAATCTCTCCAGTCTCTCGGGCTCTCAATAATCATGAAATCAGCCCAAATAACAATGATATGATGTATCAATAATAATAACAGAGACTGAGATAAAATATGCAAGTAAAAACTGAGACTGAGTACATATAGCATTTAGCAGATAATTCAACAAGTACGCAACCTTTGTGGGTCCCAACAGTACTATCCCATAGCCTAAGCATAATTTGTGACATGATTTACAATCAAATTTTGTCAACACTTAGAGAGCATATAGCTAACAACAAATTATTCAACTTTATAGTTTTTCCGGGACGGACCAAGTCATAATCCCCTCGGTGCATGCCCACACGCCCGTAACCTAGCATATGTGTCACCTCCAAAATAATCACATGATACCAAAATCCGGGGTTTCATACCCTCATGACCAGATTTAAAACTGTTACTTACCTCAGAGCGTGAAATTCTTTATTCTGCTATGCCTTTGCCTCGCAAATCGGCCTCCGAATGCCTCGAATCTAGATACAAATAATTCGATTCAGTCAATACCAATTATTGTAATTAATTCCATAAAGAGATACTAATTTTTCCAATAAAATCCGAAATTAACTAAAAATTCGCTCGTGGGGCCCACGTATCAGAATCTGACAAAAGTTATAGAATATGAATGCTCATCCAACCACGAGTCCAACCATACAAATTTTACCAAAATCAGATACCAACTCGACCCTCAAATCTTCAATTACAATCCGTGAAAATTTCTACCATTTTCAACCCAATCCTTACCCATTTGAACTTAACAATCTTTCCACAACCTTATTGGTATGTATACATGATACTCTACACCCAAGAATCATACTATTAATCATCCATCTTTACTCCAAACCCGAAATTGAAGAATTAGGGAAAGAAATTCTTACCTCTTTGAAGCCATAGCAAGATCCTTGTAAAATCTTCAAACCTTGAACAAGAATTGATGGATAAATGACTAAGTCTTCACTTTCTCTCTCTAAAATGCTCTCACCTCTCTCTAAAATATCAGATTTTGGCTCAAAAATGAGCTTCAAGGGCTATAAATCGAAGTTGGTTCGGGTATAAAATTAGAAAGAATGGAAGCTCTGACGCAGTTATGCGATCGCATAACAGGTATACGATCCGCATATCCGCCGCATAATTTGGCCTCCAAAGCTTGGCGTTACTGACCCGGTCTGCGGTCATTATGCGGCCCGCATACTTGTTCTGTGGTCGCATAATGCACCGCAAAACAAGTCTGCGGTCGCATAGTGCACCGTAGATTTTCCTCAAATCTTGCCCCTCTCCTGATCCATTATGCAACCATTATGCGGTCCGCAGAGTGATTCTGTGACCGCATAGTGGTCGCAGAAATGACCATTTTTTGACAAAATTTTCCTTTACACATCGGTGCATTGGTCAACCCAAAAAATCCGAGTTGCGGCGAGCTTATCTTTGTACTAATTGATCTATCTCGGCACCACCAAACCTTAATTTCCTTAGCAAAATTTCTCCGGGGTCGTTACACATAAGTTAACGTCCGGTCAATTTTTTTAACTTAAATTCAAAACCTTGAAACTAAGTGCTCCAAATCATTTCAAAACCTCACCGGACCCAAACCAATTACCCCGGCAAGCTAAATAATAACTGTAATACACAATTTGAGTAGTAAATGGGAGAATGAGATTGCAATAGTCAAAACGACCGGCCGGGTCGTTACAGCTGCTATTGTACCAGATATAGATAATCTTCTACCGATGGTAATATTTATCCATAACGGAGTACCGAAAGGATAAGTTTCTTTAGGAGGCTTAGTTCCAATAAAGTACTAAATAGATAAACGTATTTACGGCGGAGTCCCATATGGATAAACTTCTTCAGGAAACTTCTTTCTAACAGAGTACTAAATGAACATCCATAATATAATATATTCATAATATTGATGAGTTTATATAAAAATGATACTCATTGCATGACACCTACGAAAATGGCCATTGCATGACACATGCGAATATGCCCATGCACACATTAATTAATTATTGCATGCAATGTATCTTAATTTTCAATATTGTTATGAAACTTGTCAAAGTGAAATTATAATATATCCTTGTTGAGAATTAGGTTTTAATGATTAACATTTGTCTCCGGTGAACATGTGTTGAGAACCAGGTTCTCAAGTAGCTGCTGAAGATTCTTACAAGGCAGTAGCTTTTACCAAAGTTATTACAATCCAATATTAGTGGAAGTGACTCTTGTCCGTCATCATCAAAAAGGGAAAAATTATTGGAAATTGATGAATTTTAATTTTGATGATTAACAAACATGGCAGATATATTGGATTGATTAAAGGACCTAGTGAAGGGCCTGGTCCTGCTGGGTTGGACTTGCAGAGTGCTGGCACTTAATCCTAGCGGGAGAAAGATTCATTTTTTAGAGAGATATTATCTTATTTCGTATTTTATGACCTACTAGCCACCTAGATAATAGAGAATCTTGGTAAATTTTTATTGTTAACTTGGAGACCAAGTTTGTAAGGAAGTAGAGTTAAAAGTGGATTTATTTTAGGAAAAGAATTATATTCTTCCTATACTTCCTTTATTCTCTAGAGTTAGGAGGGAGATCTTTAAGAGATATATTTTGCACGAAATTAGTGAAAATTAAGCAGGTTTCTTACTGGAAAAGTGTTAGAATTGGAGTAGGAAACAAATAAGGAAAACCATGTAGTCATATATGGTAAATTCTTTATGAAGTAGGTCTCTTATTATTTGTTTTCTTTTATGATTTGGACTCTTTATGCTACTAACGTATTACCTATATGTAGTCCATACTTACTTCATTGTAGGAACACACTTCCATTATTTCTTCAGAGTAAATTGAGAGGAAAGTAAGAAAAAACGAGTTCAAAATTCTAAAGTGGATATTGAAGGCTGGAATGTGCAGAAGAACCAGACTAGAGAACCTGTTCCTTGACACAATGTCAAATTCATTGTGTCTAGTCTAATTCATTGCATTAGGGTTATTGAGTTGTAATCTTATTTGCTTATATAAGAAGCATTTCGAGAGGTTTTTCTCCATGAGAGAATTCAAGTCTTAAGCTAGAGTTAACTTGAGCATTTTTCTACAACCATAGTAGTTGTAGGCAGTCAAGTGGCTAGGATTTAGTCTCTTAGGTTATAAGAGTTTTATTTCCTGAAACTGCTCATTGTTTTAATGAAGTTTTTGTGAGAAATCCTAGAGGTGGGTTGTGGTTTTTACTCCCTTGATCAAATAGGTTTTTCACGTAAAAAATGTCCTGTGTATTTAATTCCACACTTTACTATTTCAAATATTTAACGAATGAGCGAATATAAGAACGTTCTTATACATGTGTCTAAGGGTGTACCAACTCAACAATACTTAGTCAACTAAAGCTGGGTCAACACTAGGGTTGTGTATTATTTGGGTCGAACCGAAAATCCGAACCTATCCATGTTATTTGGATCGGTACAGATCGAATTTCAACTATTTGGATCAGATTTTGGATTATAGATTTAAATATTTTGGATATCGGATCAGATACGATTTAGCTTAATTTAAATCCGAACCGATCCGAAATCCGAAATATAAGGCCTATATATAAAAGTGAGAATGCCATCAAATAGGGTTTCATTTGTCTTATTTCTCTCACATCAGCAAGTATCTCTTAGAGCTTTTAGACCTGCCTCCATCACTCCAAATCTTCAATATCTCCGCTTCATCTTTGCTCTCTAGAAGTAAGGTTTGTTGGTTTTGTTTTGATTTTTCATTCTCTCCATCCTTTCCATTTTAGATTATTGATTGATTCTTTCCTATTTATGGTCGATTTTTATTTTAGATTGATCTAAGATTTTGATTTTTTATTCTCTCCCTCCTTTCTATTTTAGAACTTAAATTTTTCAAAGATGCTATTTGATTACAAATATACTGCTGCTCATCTAATTTTCTCAAAGCTTAAATATTAAATTTTTGCATGAATTTTTGTCCGGTGTTAGCTCGTGCACTTAAGCACTTTTATGGGTTCTTATATTTCTTCGCTATCCTTTTTTAACTACCGGTATTGATTTTTTACATGGATTTTATTTTATACTTGTTTCATAGATGACAGAGCTAGAGGTAGAGAAGGGAAATGAGTTTCAAATTATCCTAAAAGATACTGAAAGTGGTGCTTCAAATAATCCCACAACGAACACACTCCATTGTGAATCTGCTTCTAAGAAAAGAAAAGGCATAAAAGAAAGATCAGTTGCTTGGGGCCATTTTGACAAGTTCACTGATGACGAAGGGATTAAAAAAGCAAAATGCAAGTATTGTCAAGACGAATATGTAGCAAATACAAAAAACAGAGGTACAAGCAATTTGCTATCCTATATGATCAAGTGCCCGAACAATCCCCATAAGGTGGACACCAGCCAACCGAGACTAGCTTTTCAACCAAAAAAGGGTGGTCAAACAGGTGATGTATCAGTAATCCCATAAAAATTTGATCAAGAGGCATGTAGGAAGGCTTTAGCTCGTATGAAAATTATTGATGAGCAACCCTTTATTTCTGTTGAAAAGGAGAATTTTAGAGATTTTGTGAGAACTCTTCAACTTTTATTTCATGTTCCTTCTCGTACTACTGTGACTAGAGACTGTCTTGAGATTTATAATGAAGAGAGATATGTTTTGAAGAGAATTTTCAAAGAATCAAAACAGAGAATTTGCATTACAACTGACACATGGATTTCTATTCAACGAATTAACTATATGTGTGTTACAGTACATTATATTGACAAGAATTAGGAATTGCATAAAAAAATATTGATTTTTTGTCCAATTACTAGTCACAAGGGTCAAGATTTAGCTAGTGGTGTTGCTAAGTGTTTGCTTGAATGGGGATTGGATAAAATTTTTACTGTGATTGTTGATAATGCAAGCTCTAACGATGTTATGGTTAAAGAATTATCCAAAAAATTTACTAGATGAAATACAAATTTGATGGAAGGTAAGCATGTTCATGTGAGGTGTATGGATAACATCATCAATCTAGTTGTTGAAGATGGGTTGAAAGAAAGGAGTGTGTCTATTGAACGAATAAGACAAGTTGTCAGGTATATAAGGCAATCTCCCGCAAGATGGAAGAGGTTTAAAGAATATTGTGATCTTGATAAGATAATATCTAAAAAATCATTGTGTCTGGATGTTCCAACTAGGTGAAACTCCACATATTTGATGTTGAAGGTTGCGGCAGTTTATGAGGATGCTTTTACAAAATATTATGATATTGATTATGGATTGATGCATTGTATTTCTAATTGTATTTGTGAGGATGGGCAGCCTGCAGGTCCACTTTTAAGTAGTGATTGGGAAAGTATAAGATGTATTGTGAAGTTTCTTGAAATTTTTTATGAACTCACCTTGAAGGTATCGGGCATACTTTATATTACATCTAATGTACATTTTCTTGAGATCTGTGTGGTAGGTTCTTCTTTGAAAGAATTGATGAAAAATGAAGATGTTGCCGTGCGAGAAATAGCAAAGAATATGAAAGAGAAATTTGACAAGTATTGGGGTGATCCTCACAAGATGAACAAGATGGTATTTATTTTATGTGTGTTGGATCCGCGCCACGAGTTTTACTCTTTTTCTTTCGCACTTGCTTCTATGTTTGGAGAAATAAAAGGTGTGAAAATACAAGAGGAAGTGAAGACATATATGAAAACTTTATTCAGTGAGTATGTCAAAATGAATGGTGATTCATTTCTATCTTCTCCATCTCCTCCATCTTCTCCATCTTCATGTTCTTCTTCATCATCATTCTCAAAATTCATGCTAGATTTAAAGAGGCATAAGAGTGGTGGAGGTATTGACTTAAAAACAGAGTTGGATAAATATTTGGGTGACGATGTTGAGGAAGAAAAAGATAAATTTGATGTTCTGGGTTGGTGGAAGTTAAACTCACCTAGATTTCCCACTCTTACTGATATGGCACGTGATATGCTAGCCATACCAATTTTTAGTGTTGCATCTGAATCGGTCTTTAGTACTGGATGACGCATACTTGATCCATTTAGGAGTTCATTGACTCCTAGATTGGTTCAAGCTCTTGTGTGTATCCAAGATTGACTTCGTAACGAATCAACAACTTCGGTTAAAATTGAGGAAGATTTAGATAATCTTGACCAACTTGAACTTGGTAAGACTATCTTTCTTCTTTTATTCTTTGTTTTGATATATATATTTGATAACTTATTTGTATGTTATTTGGATTCTTTTTATGTTAATATATGTGTGGTTTTAAACTTTCAATAGAAATGGTCAATACTGGAAAAGAGCCTTGCATCGTCAACATATAGTATTGATGAAGATTATTGAACTATATTTTGCTGGTATAATTCTTTCACTAGTTATTTTTTTGTCCAATGTATTGGTCTTTAATTTTATGTTTCAGTTTTTTCACTAAAGTTTAAACCTTTCCTTTGTTATTGCAGAAACAAAGGGGAGTAGTACATCTGGAATTTAGAGGGAGATAGAAGTTGGAATTCTTTAATGTTTTTTTGCCTTCTTGAGTTCATCCTTTAAATAGTGGAATACCTATATCTATTTTGTTGATCTGTTGCCTTGTTGATAATCAGTTTATTTAGTTCTGTTGCTACAATTATCAGCTAGTATTATTCAGTTTAATCTTTTGGGTTTGTTCAGTTCTGTTGCTACAATTATCAACTAATATTATTTAGCTTAACCTTTTGAATCCATATTGAATTGTTGATGTTGTTTATCATTATAGAGTATGTATTTCCTTCTCGTTCTAGCTAGGTAAATCTTTATGGATCAGTTGTTAGACCCCCTCTTTATAGAGTATGTTGATGGTTATGCTACACCGATCATTAAGAGATGAACTCATGGAATAAGCATCTTAATATATAAGGCTTACAATCTGAACAGTAATCCGAAATATTTATCCGATCCAAATATAAAAATCCAATCCGAACCGAATTTAATTTGGTTCGGATTCGGATTGCAATTTATCAAATCCGAAATCCAATCGAATAGTCCAAAATGTGCCAAATCCGATCCAATCTGATCCATGAACAGGCCTAGTCAACACGCAGGATACTTCCCTTTCTTTCTTTCTCTCTATTCCTCTCTTTTACTTTTAATATTCAACAATATTTAATACTCTCTCCCTCTCTTAATTAAGCTTCAGTCATTGATAGAGAGGAATCTTAAAAATTGCTATATTAAAGGAGAGGAAACGGAGAAAGAAAATTATACCCTCTCCCTAGTCATAAGTAACCACAACTGATATGTAAGGCTATCAATGAACCTCTTAATCCTCTCCCTATCAGTGGAAATCAACCAAACTGCGTGACGAGCCAACTCAGAAAACCTCATCTCGTACTGGGTCACACACATGCCATCCTGCCAAAGCTGCTCAAACTGTCTGCGCAACTCGTACCTGCGAGACTGCGGAACGAACTTCTCCAAAAAGAGAACAGAGAACTCATGCCATGTAAGTTGTGATTCACCGGCCAAACTGTGCCTCTCATAAGCCTCCCACCATCTGAAGGCATCCCCAGAAAACTGAAAAGTAGTGAATGAGACCCCATTGGTCTCCAGAAGACCCGCTGTCCGAAGCATCCGCTGGAACTTATCCAGAAAACCCTGAGCATCTTTTGACTCAACACCGCTAAATAATAGAGGTTGAAGCCTCCCAAATATCTCAAGTCTCCTCTTCTCATCATATGCCATAACGGGGACTACCGGGGCCTGAGCAGCTATCGTCGACTGGGCTGGTAGTGCCTCCGGTATCTGAATTCCCTGCACTACCTACTATGGAGTACGGGAAATAGGGGTATGAGTACCTCCCCCGTCCTAAGAGGTGGCAGGTGCGGCCTGATCCGAAATCACCTGAGCAAGGCCAGTGCAAACTGTCAATATCTGAGCCAAAGCCTCCTGAAGTCCTGGAATCACAATGGGCACAGTTGGTGCCTGAGCTGGTCCTGTTGGCTCAGCTATATCTGGAATCTGCTCTTGAGCTGAAGCAACTGGTGGTGCTATAGGTGCTACTCCAACTGCTATACGAGCTACACCTCGACCTCTACCTCGGCCTATACCATGACCCCGAACTCTTGTGGCCCTAACTGGTGGCAGTGGTGGCTGATCGTCCGTTCCGGTAGTATGTGTTATCACTGTCTGTGAGAGAATTGAATAACATAAATTTAGTTTCCAGAATTAACATATTCGCTCGACAGAATACAAGAAAGGGAAATATTTCGTAAGGGTTCGCAACCTCTCGAAAATAAGTACAGACGTCTCCATACCGTTCTCCAAGACTCTACTAAACCTGCTCATGACTCGTGAGACCTATGTAACCTAGATTTTGATACCAACTTGTCACGATCCAAAATCTCACCTGTCGTGATTTCACCTATCTCAATACTAGGCAAGCCGACAATCTCAATAAACCACCATATCTTTTAAATTTGAAAACATAATAATTAAATTCAACGGAAGAAATCTTAGAAATACAAATATAAACAATCCCAAAACCCGGTGTCACTGAGTATATGGGCATCTAATATGAATACAAAGTTTGATTGATAACACACTGTCTGAGAGTATAGAACATTACAAAAATTGGAAGAAAGAGAGTCAAGGTCAGCGGATGCCAGTCAACTACCTTGATAGTCTCTAACGCCACTGCTCAATAAAAACACTATTCTCGTCGCTAAAAACCCAATTCCCATCGCTAAAAGTGCCAAATCTGGTCGCTAAAGGTGCGCACCAGAACCTGTTGCACCAGCAATATTTATTTTCACTAAAAAGACTCTAACTCTATCAAACTCTTTCAAAACTCATACGAGCCCCATGGGACCTCCAACCAAGTATACTAACAAGTCCCATAATATGACACGAACTTAGTCGATGCCTCAAATGACATTGAACAACACTAGAACACGAATCGCACCCCAATTCAAGCCTATTCAAAACTAACAAATTCCAAATTCTACATTCGATGCCGAAACTTACCAAATCAACTCCGATTGACCTCACATTTTTCACAAAAGTCATAAATGACATAACAGAGTTGTTTCAATTTTCAGAATCGGATTTCGATCCCGATATTTAAAAGTCAACTCCCTCGTCAAACTTCTAAACTCAAATTTCCTATTTTCGTCATTTCAAGCCTAATTTAGCTACGAACCTCAAAATAAATATCCGGACACACTCCTAAGTCCGAAATAACCATACTGAGCTATTGAAATCATTAAAATTCTATTTCGGGGCCGTTTACACATAAGTCAACATCCGGCCAACCGTTTCAACTTTAGTTTTCATCTTGGAGGCTAAGTATCTCAATTCATTTTAAAACCTCACCGGACCCAAATTAATTACCCCAGCAAGTCATATATCAACTATAAAGTATACATTGAGTAGTAAATAGGGAAACAATGTGGTAATACTCAAAACGATCGGTCGGGTCGTTACACTAGTAGGTTTTCATGATCTTTACGACGTAGAATCAGAAAGCAAAGGTGATGAAGATGGAATTATGGCTATGATGGCCATGAGTGACTCAAACTTTGAGAATAAATCAAATGAGATAAACTCTTCTAATCTCAAAGAAAATATTTATGCTTTGTATTAGAAAGAATTGATGCCTGTAGTGCTCTCTTTGATGAACGAAATTGATAGGTTGAGTGCTGATAATGATAAGTTGATGAATAGTTTTTCAAGTGTTAACCTAGACTCCTTAAGTCATAATAATAATAATGATGAACTTGAAAACCAAATCAAATATCCTAAGGAACAAATTCACGTTCTTAAAACTTAAAATTCAGCACTCAAACTTGAAAGTCTGAACTCAAAGGACGTACTAAATAAAGTCAAGAGATTAATTAGTGAGATTCAGATTGCTCTTGAAAAGGAAATTAAAAAGGACAAAAGAAAAATTGTACCTTGAAATTGAAAAGGATATATTACTTGAAGAGAATCTGAACAAAACTAATTATGAACTTATCAGAATCACTAAGTGGAACAAGTTCTCGGATGCGCTAAATTGGCTAAAAGAAAATCATAACAGGAATAGGACTGAAATTAGATATGAAAAATCTTTGTATAAGCTGGATCCTACATATGTGGAAGTTCATAAAAATAAGTTGTGCACGCATTGTGGTAACGCTGATCACTTTAAGGATAGTTGCACAACTTTGTTTAAGGCAAAAGTAAAGAATGAAAAATATATTTTGCCTAATTGGATTGAGAGACACTTGATTCATCCTTTTAGTCAAAAGAAGGGACCCAAGCTAGTATGGATTCCTAAATCTAACCTCTAATCTAGTTTTGCTGGCTAAAGTGAGAGAGAGCGACCAATTGCGCTACTTGGATTTTTTTATTGGTTGCTCAAGGCACATAACTGAAGATACATTAAATGTTTTCTCACGAACAGTCTTCAAAAGAGGGAGTGTGCCATTTGGTAAGAAAGGATAAATTATTAATAGAAGTAAGATAGGTAAGACTCTCTCTAACTCTATAAATTATGTGTATTTAGTTGTGGATGGTAAGCTTGAAAGTGCTTATGTGATTTTTGATGAATCTGATACTTTAGTTGAAAAGAATATGTTGGATGATGACTTTGACATGGATATTATTCGAAGTCAAGTTTCAAGTGAAAAACAAAATCATAAGCACTCATGTTGAGAAATCATTCAAGGGAACTGGTTTTGAAGTAGGTTCCTCTGCAGTTGGGCATGGTTTAATTTAATCAGCGGGAACAAATTGTTGACATATTCACCAAAGCACTCAACAAGGTTCATTTGAAAAGAATATGCTGAAACTTGGTTTGATAAACCACATATGTTCTTGCTTGAGTCTTCCCTTAAATGATTGGCTAGTATGATCTGTGTTTGATGTGTGCTACAATGGCTTAAATGTCTTTCCTAGTCTCATACTGTAAAAACTATGCACTCAGATCAAGGTATAACACTTCTCATAATGGTCTAATGACATTATCCTTATTATCAAAGATGGAGAGTCATTGTAGGTTGTGAATAAACAAGCAGAAAGTAACGACCCGGCCCGTCGTTTTGAGTATTATAACCCCGTTCTCCCATTTACTGCTCTATTTATTCTTTATAGGTGTATTATGACCTATCAGATTAGTTAGTTCGGGTCAGGAGAGATTTCGGAATGAATTGAGACACTTAGTCTCTTAAATGGAAAACTTAAGTTGGAAAAGTCGACCGGATGTTAATCTATGTGTAAACGACCTCGGATTCGAATTTTGATTATTCTAGTAGCTTCGTATAGTGATTTTAGACTTAGGAGCATGTCTGAAAAATTATTTGGAGGTCCGTAGTGGAATTAGGCTTGAAATGACGAAAGTTAAATTTTTGGGGAGTTTGACCGAGGGTTTGAATTTTTGATATCGGGGTCAAAATCCGATTCTGGAAATTGGAATAGGTTCGTAATATAAAATGTGACTTGTGTACAAAATTTGAGGTCAATCGGACATGATTTGTTAGGTTTCAGCATCGTTTGTAGAATTTGGAAATTTCGAAGTTTATTAGGCTTGAATCCGTGTGTAGTTCATATTTTTGAAGTTGTTCGAGGTGATTTGAGAGTTCAACTAAGTTCGTATTGGGATATAAGACT